CAGGTCAATTACAGTGGCCCAGGAACTTAGTTGTGCTTCCTGAAAGTTCCTACTATTTTTTTAGGCACATCGAAGAGTGGTCGTAGACTTGGTCTCAGTCGCATTTCCTAATGGAGAGATTTATCAAAGTTCCGTGGACGTTACACTCACTACTTCATTATTACTAACACATAAGAGTTTCCTGTGGTACTTTTTGTTATTTCTAGTACGAAGAGGGGTAAACATAATTTTGTGCGTTAGTTTTATGTGAACAGAAAGACTAGATGCTACAAAGTTCTTCCGGTATTTCTGCTAACAACGACTGTGAAACGCAGATTCACGATTGTCTCATCTACTGACCTCGTTTGACTGCAGTAACGAGTTCGTTGTACTCGTCCATTAGCGTTTGCAGCTTCTTTCGACGGTCACTGGCTGTTTTGAGCCAGGATGCCAGTACGGACTCACCTGAAGTGGAGAGCTGAAAGTTAGATAATTTAGAGTGAACCCATTGTGCAGCAAGGTGAATAAAGAACGGACTTCACAAATGTGATGTTTTACAGAGTAGTATCAACTGCAGTTTGTAAACATCAAAATATAGTTTGCAACAATTAAAAGTATTTCTCATCACTACTGATACAAGCGCTACAAATCACTGCGAATGCTGAAATGCATTCCATAGAGGGGGACAAAATGACTTCTTTTGCAATGACAGTCTTCTAATTATAAGAGGTACTCATAAGCAAAATTCAAAGACTACGAATGATAATGATGGGTAAATGATTTTACAATAAAATTAACTTGTACTTTTTGGAAAGACCTCCACTAAAAGGATCGAAGGCGTACTCATAACTGTTGTGTTAAGACTTCCTCCAACTTGGCAAGCGAAGTTGGAATTGGCAAAATGAATGCGAAGTGAGACTAACCAACAGATCCTATGGCGCAATGAAGGTAAAGCAGAGCAACAGTGTAGATTTTGATTCGTTCGGTTGATAATTAGGGCTTCACTTGCAAAGTTATCAACGACGACTAATATTTCTTAAAAAATGGCGATCTTGAAATCGCCAATAATGGTGATGCAGTGAATGCAAATGTATGCTTTCGATGGTCAGAGGAAACATCCTCAAATTATAAATTTCGGTGGACAATTAGACTTCAATAATTGCAGACCACACAACAGGCTTTCCTATCAGACTGGAAATAACTACTTAGTCTAAAATAAATTTCCTGGCGTTAGTAGGTATTTTCAGAAAAGGTGACAACAAAAACACCTGCGAAATGCATTGCTAACTGCAGCTACAAAATTCCTGTATTAATCTACAAATAACTTTAGAGGATCGCCTACGCAGTGTAAACCCTGAAGCGCAGATACTGTCCCTAACCATGTCATAAAATGTGAAGGTGCTTACGGAACTTTTTGCTATCACGGTCGCATATTGATGAAGGGACAGCGTCTGCCCTCAAGTCCGCATCATCACTGGAGTCGAGAAGCTCCTGTCGATCTCCAAATTCGTTTTCGAGGATTATTCGAACTCCTGAAGCTACTTTCTGAAAACTTGATCCCATTCAACGCGATTCAGAGGGGAATGGCCTATGTGATTAAAAGCACAATAGCATACGCCATCTCCTGTGTCCATGTAACTACGGTGTAAAGACGCGTTTCCTATTTGGTCTAGCACGGCTTGCAGCACTACTCCTTATTAACAAATAAGCATGTTATTGGAACCAAATTGAGGGTGTCAAGCTCACTAGTCAGAATGGGAAATTTGAATCCCATCACAACCTAAAATGGAGGCCCACGGCCATGATGTACTTGATTTCACCGTTTAGTCGTCATTAGTGCCATTACTTCAGGTTGTAAATACAGTAACCAGTTGATCTTACGCGATCGCATTGCAACAAAACAAGGGGTTTGACACACGGGCACTAGCAATGTACATGGTGTTTTTACAATGTAAGCACTTTGTAACTCTTTTTGGAAAAAGTAAATTTTAGTCCCTTGTGCGTTTACAAACACCGGCTGTGGCACTTGGCTTCCCCTCCAACAGATCCTGTGCGTTGGCATAGGAGAGGCTCCTTTCATTTCCCATCGCATTCCCTCCGTGTACCAAAAATAAGCATTTAGTATTTGCAACGGTGAAATGCTTTTAAGGACAATCATGGAGAAAACGAGATTGCGTGACACCGACTAAACCTTGCATCAGAAGAGTACCCAACATTAGGAATCAACGAACCTGTGACTTCATTTGACTTCACTACAATTTTAACGCAGATGCGTACAACGGTATTTACTTAAGCAGGATTCTTTTTTTCCAAATGTGACAGATGGGCCAAAGTCTCGACAAAATCATGGACCGAACCAATGTACAATCTCGCCCATTTGGACTTTGGCATGGGAACGAATTTCTGAGGACACCTAAATTGAGTAAAGATTGGGGACCCATTTCCGATAGCATTCATAAAAAAGGACATCTGAGATTTAGTGATATATGCTTTTATGCATTGCAGCGCCTACAGCATTTTCTTATGGTAATTTAGCGTCACCCGAAAACACGGTATGATTTGTTGGATCCACCTATATTAAGGGCTAAGAATTTGGCCATACCATACAGTGCATTGGAGAAGAAAAGATAAAAAAGCACTTACTAGAATGGTAAGAAACAGGAAGTGAAACTTGTAGTCAGACGGGGTAATTTTGGGGGCTGACGCTTATACGCGCTGAAAGCTTGTGTGGATACTCCGACAAGAAGTCACGGCGCAATGCATAAATATGCAAATTCACTTAACTCATCACCATCCTAAGTGACGTCAGACAGGTTTAATTATTGTTTCCGAAATGACTTTTAATGAGACGGGGCCTGTGATACACAAGGTAAAAACACAAACCCGACAATCAGTGCTCTCGATTTACAGGATGGCGGTTCAGTGCTGCTATTGCGGTGTTTAGCGCAGCAAACCACTACGACCTCTGAGGAGGAAATGCATCCCGTTTACATTGAACAATTTGTGGGTCACCATAATCGTCGCCAAGTAGTAAACTTAGAGGCAATAAGCTATGCCTCAGGCAAAGAGAACGATGCGGCAATTTGGGTTACGAGGTATCTGTGGATGTAGAACGCGCAACTGTTTTCCACATCATCATTGCAAAATGATTAAGCAAAATGAGCACAAACTTATTTGCAGGTCATACTGCTGAGTGATAACCATCTGATGGCAAATTTACTTCAAAATGTATGGTGAGGCGGATTTCTCAGACAGTGAACAAAAAGGTATGCCTTCATGGTACAAGAGTGAAACCTCAACATCCACATGTCCTTTTCAGACTTGCCAATAGTTCCTATTTTTAAACCTTAAGAACCGGTTTTAGTTATTCTTGAAAAGCTAATATCTTTGAGGAGGAGGGCACGACGAAAGTTAGAAAGCGCAAGGAATGCCAACATGTCCACCAATATTGAGCTTCGCTGGCGATTTCCAGTGACTACGCACTCTGTGCCAGAGATGACTGGATACATTTGACTGTCAAAACTGCCGGCTTATGTTTTGACACACCTCAAGTGTATACATTTAGAACGCCAAAACGAGGCTGCAGCAGTGGGGTGACATTTTACTGTTTTTACGAAAAGGGATGCTTTAAAAGCTTGAAAAGTATATTGTAGCAAAGTATTTAAGTAATACATCAGTTACAAAACAACACAAAACTACAAAGAGGAAGGTCGTGATATCAAGGCAATGCTTGGCAATAAAAATTGCCGTTTTGTAAGTTAGGAGGCTAGATGTTAGAATTCTTGTCGGGTGAATGCAAGATTTAGACCAAATTTTACCTGAAGGCAAAACGTCACTCTCCATTAACGTTAGTTGGCTGTTCTTTCAGTCTAGTAAGCGCGTGACTGGGAAGCAGGGCAGACTACAAAACGATGCCCACACATTGTTACTTTAGTCGCTTCATATTGGCCCATTATTTCCATGATTATACTTTTATGAAAAAAGAACTAGTATCCATTTAAGAAGAGCAGGAGGAGGCTTTTGGTAGGCAATGCATTTGGCGCAAAGTCGTTGCTGGGCCACTGGAACATGTATGAATACTGGAGAGGCCCTATTCAGGCGCCCGCCTTACACGCTTGTTCAAAGTGCAAATATTGAGTGGAGTGTGCGCTGGACTTTAAGCAGGTCCTGAGACCGTACCAGCTACTGCGCAGCTAAGACAGTTGGAGAAGCACTTTGAGCCATTAGAAATGAAAAATAGTGCGTGAATGCAAGCAACAGCTATTTGCCAAATGCATTTCTTTGCCCAAGATGACCTTAGTAGCAGAAACTGTTCAGCCAGGATAAAATGGGCAATCAATTAGCTTAAGCGTGCCAAAGTCTAAAAGCGATAGGTCAATCTGTCTTGTAATGGCATGAAGATTTCCATTGATTGCAAAATCCTTAAGAAGATTTTTTTACAAATATTGGCAAAATCATAAACAGAATTATTTGTTCGGAAATTTCACGCATCAGAACATTTGAAGTAGTTTTTTTGTACCCCATACCTTAATTATTGTGTTTTGTCGAAAGAGATTTGATTTTCAGACGGATGCTCCACGAGGCATCACATCATTTCATTTTGCTATGGAAAACAGTCCCAACTTCAAGGAAACTGTTTCGGTTCTTTGAACAGGACTGCCGTAACAGGTTGTCTGGTAGCAACAACGTCCGAATGGATAGCATTAGACCATTATCGGAGAAGACATAAAAAAGGCATTGAAGGTGGAGAGGGAACAAGGGGATAGGAGAAGGTAAACTGAACTCACCTCGGACTCGTCGCTAAGGCGCTGCGGAACTGTTGAGTGAGTACAGCTCAGCGATACGCAGCAGTGCACCACATGGACTTACGTCCACTTACACGCAGGCACACACGCACCATCGGTTCGCACACTTCCACAGTCACACACGAACTTTGCCTCGTGGTTACGCAATTCACTGTCGCCAACACGTCCCCTCTCTTAAGTGGTGAGTTGTTGTAGTTATAATGGACGAGAGGGGAGGGCGTGAGGCCGTGTTATAGCTATGGCGTAAAAAAAGACTGTTTAACTGGCCGGTGATGGTGTACCACTTTGTTTATGTTACTACCTAGTGGCCGCGGCTACTTTAAGACTCATCTGGCTCTGGCTCAGGCTTAATGTCTTTGCTCTATCTGAAATACTTTTATTCAGCTCCACTTAATGCCTTCTTCCACCTGTCTGGAAGTGTTGGGACGCTACACAGGTGACAACAAGAAAGGGCTTGAGACCTGAGCAACTGACAACTGAGCAACACCGCCCTGAACCATCTGGTAAAGTTTAGTTTCGGAACTTCGCCTAATATAGCTGTATATGGGTGTCGGAAATGACACTGCGGATCTCCTTATATATGGAACTGTATCTAATCCCGTTTTCCTTGCAACACCGTCTAGTCCTGGAAGCAATTGGCTCCAGGTCCAGTTGAAGAGGCGCTGAGGCCACCAAGTGCCGTTCCTCAGCCTTGTGGTAGCTTTTTGATTGGTGCGGCTGCCTCGTAGGTGCTTTCTTGCAGTACGAATATGTTGTGATGGCTGGCACGGAAAATGCACCAAATAGCGCGTCGAGGACGTCTCTCAAAAGAAGAGAGTGGCAGTATGATACTTTGTTTACGCGATCACCTGATGTCTGGCGGTTACTTTGTTATTCGTCTGGCCCTTGTACGCGTGGGCTCGCCTTCAGGCCAAGCTCAGGTTTAATCCCCTTTCTTCCCTTAGAATGCATGCATTCAGCCCAGTTTAATGCCTTCTTCTACCCGGTGGGTAGTCTTGGGACGCTGTAGGTGGGACTTTTATGAGTTTCCGTATCATGTGTGGATTCCTTCCCCGCCCAATTAGACATTCGAATACGGGATTTGGCGGTAGTAATGTAGGAATCTTGGTGCTATACGAACAAAACACCATCGGGAACGGACAGCACTACGTAGCTAGGAGTGCACTCCCTTCCTTTTTTACGGCACTCATTACTCAAAGTGTTTGTTCCAAAACTCCATTTGTTGCAAATATGTTTACGATTCGCCTATGGATATTGCCGAAATTATTCACAGACCTAAAAACGGAAATGTTCTTGCAGTAGCCATGACAACCAGTTAATATGATCAAATATCGATAGGTTAGCAGAGCCGAAATTGAATCGAAGTATCTGAATTGATAAAGATGACTTATTGTTTACATTTTTTACTTGATTGGAAATCCTCGACCCTTCTACAATCACAATGATTATAAGTACATGTTGACAATAAGCCAATTTCACAAGCCGTTCATTCGTGCAAGTAGCAACTCGAAAGTAGAGCATCGCTGAGACCCATTGTTACTGAAATAAACCATAAAGATTATCAGACTAGAGTGCTATATACACTTTCTTTCCCACCGTTATATCTTCGGCATTGAGTTCAACTTTGGTGCATGAATGTTCCGCCCACATAATGTCATGGTTGAGCCAACTAAGCGATATGCCATTTTTTAGTGCAACATCGATAGTCCACAGCCCCGTATCTTAGAATTTCTTACACAACAATTTAATCTCATTCGGTTTTGGCTTAGTAGAACAAAGTTACTTTCCAGGTTCCGGCCATGAGTGTGGAAACGAATGTCTAATCAGAAGAATCTTAAAGAATCGACCGCTACTTTCAATGGCGTTGAGCCATTGGATTCGACTCGAATCTTGGACCAATGTCGACTCAGTAGAATGATTCAACGTGCTGGATCTGTCTGATCGTACTTTTCCACCTATCAGATGGAGCTGATTGGCCTAAATACGATGCCTACGTCACAATTGAGAAGATTGACATTTCTTTGCACCTAAATCTAGTGGGCACTAAATGGTATCGGACAAGTTGGCATACGATTGAATCTTGAACTTCAATGTGGAGTGGTAAAATGATTGAGCGGAATGGAGTAGGTCCTCTGTTTGGCCATAAAGTAAGTCTGGAGACAGATTTTCAGGCACAAAACGTAAAGCTCACCGTCACTTGTCACTGTCAACGCGGTTCCTTGTGACCGACAATCTTACCCATTCTAAATGATGTCCCATTGCTTTTCAGCGGCGAGTTTTGTACTCTAATTTGATAAGGACCAAATTAGGGAATCTATTTAGTCCTAACTGTATGATTTAACAAAGCTGACGCTGATTTCAGCTTATATGTGCTCCATGAAACACACTAAACAAAAGAGGAGTGCCAATTGTCTCAACAGAGCTGATTTGCTACTCTCGAGGAGGATACAGCAAAGACGGATAAAGGAATTTTTAGTTACCCGATACATTAATATTGCACCGAAAGGTTACGGAGAAACGGTCCTTACGGGAGAGACTGTTGCAAAAGTGGTGCTGATTTTGCCTTAAAAATGGTCTGAAGTTCCCGCCCGATGATACACTAAATTACCGTTGCAACCACAACAGTAGAGAAATGAACTCTTATTTGTGCTTTGAGAGGTTCGTTCTCATTACATACCTTGGCAGAGTTGGAAGAGCCACTGACGCCAGCGATATAACAAAAAGCGGAGAGGGAAAAGCCTAAGGTACTGTGTAATAACGGCTTAATGATTGGGAAATCTTTATAACTGCTTACAAAAATGTGTTTAGATAAAAGTGAAATGGATTTTGCAGGCAACTTCACTCTAAGCAAGGTCACATGACTGAGGAAGTTTTAGAAATCGAGGGGATCCGAAGATCTCAAACGTGGATACGTCACAAATTGAAGTGTTGTTCAATTGATCGTTGATTGAGAGCGAGAAAACGAGTTGCAGATTATGTAAGACAGGTAATTGCCACTGCATACTTTCGACATTATTTCGGAAATTAAGCCTTTCCGGAAGAGGGACGGTTGGAGATTGACTCACAAAAGGCTGAGAGGGAAATAAGGATATGTAAGCGTAGACGCCGCGGAATCCGTGGCCGTTGGTGATGTTATGTTGTCTACTGCATCCTTGATGCACGTAGTACTACGGGAGTGCAAAGTGATTCACGCATTTTTATTAGTCTTTGTAATAAATCACCAATCTAGAGCCATTAAAAAGGCACCTACATGCATTTAATTGCCCCAGATGCCTCAACAAGTACAAATTTGCCATCAAAATGTTAACCATCGAATCTGTTCAGGTAAGCTTTATGGCAAATTGAAGTAGACGACCAAAGTATGAAACCAAGTTTCAAAGTGATATATTGTATTTAGCATTGGTACCATCCGGAGGGGAGTGAAACAGAGGCGAAACATGTTGGTTCCTCTTCCGCACTTCAGCATCGACACAAAAGGGAGGCAGTAAATACTAAGGCAACCTCCTCGAGAATGCAGCAGCAGGACGTCTGGATCATGTGACGAGATCGTGATAATTCATTGCGCTAGATGCCCATAGTCATGAATCTGGGGGGCTCTAAATTCATGTTGTGATGTGTGTTTCAAGTCAACCACTACACTAAACAGGATGAGATTGATAAAACTGCTGTTATATACAGCGCACTTTGCCGTCGATGCGTCGTTTAACGACGCTCCCAATGCTATTACTTCTAATTCTAAAATGGAGGAATAAAATACACACGCATTTGAAATCATAAGCGCTAGCCGAGAACGCTATGAGAATTTCTAAAAGTCAAAGCGGATCAAATGTGAATTGATCAGGAGGATGAGAATCCTCAACCCTGACGCTAAAGTTCCTATATACCGATTATAGTGACCACGAAAGAATCGTTTTGGATCCCACCGAGAGGAGCAATCGAAGTTTGTGATTTATCGCGCCGCGCGGGCGTTATAACTAATGCGATCCCTTTGAAACGTTGTGGTATTTCTACAAAGTGGGCTTAAGATAGTGATAAAAAAGATTTCAGTGTTACAGACCGGTTAAAATATGCCGTCGCTCCAAAACGTGAGGATTTTGGACCATCTAGGAGGGGATTTGCACCAAACAATGACCCAATGAGACTGCTCGATTAACTGAGTTTGATATCGAAAAATATGCAAAAATAATGAATATAGAGAATAAATATAGACTACTCATGCCTTGTTAGCACAGCAGAACAGGATACCTCATTAGCAGCAATCACATTATGCCATTAAATGTATGCAACGGTAGCTTTCAATATGAATAACAACACGGTGGTGCAATATTTTGAATTGTGAAGAATATGCTTTTGTCATGCTGCAGTGTCGCAAGGTCCTCTATGGCTGCATGAGAGAATAGATGAGTAAAATATGCAGGAGATTGAGAGAGAATTAGCGAAGCCTTCTGATCATGCTGGAAGGTGAAACTGCCACAATTGGTGTGTAAACGCGGAACGCATTCGGTTATAAGACTGCCTTATGACAGAAAAATAAGGCTATTGGATTCAAAAGGAC